GGGCCTCCTCCAGTGCAACAACGATGCCACTCGAAGGTTGCAGGAACAGCAACTCATATTTCGCTTGGGAACCCTGCAGCCCAATGGTATCAATGTGGGCTTCACAAGCTTCAAAATCTCCCCGCCCCTGACCGCATCCCAAAACCAGCCCAGCTCGTCCCCACCTCCCTAACCTGACCGTCCTTCCTCCCACCTATCCAATCCTCCCACCCCAACCCCCACCCCCCCCACCTATCAGCCTCATCCTCGCCTCCTTGACCTGTCCGTCTTCCCTCCCACCCACCTGCCCCTTTCTCCTCACTGACCAATCCCCAACCTAACTCTCCACCTCCACTCACCTTTACTGGCTCCATCCCCGCCTCTTTGACCTGTCTGTCTCCTCTCCACCTATCTTCTCCTCTATCCATCTTCTATCCGCCTCCCCCTCTCTCTCTATTTATTTCAGAAGCCCCTTCCCCTCCCCCATTTCTGAAGAAGGGTCCAGACCCAAAACATCAGCTTTCCTGCTCCTCTGATGCTGCTTGGCCTGCTGTGTTCATCCAGCTCTACACCTTGTTATCTCAGCATAAAATATTGCCTCCTTGGAAAAGTGATTCCACGGTATCAGTTGAGAGATATTGGCTTAGACATACAAATCCAATCAGAAATGTAATTAAAGACAACTGCATAGATTTCTGGAGAACATAAATAGGCTGGCGAATTAAGCAGGCATATAGAAGATTTCAAGGAAATATGAAGTGACACATTGTGTTGGAAAGAATGAGGGGAAGTAATATGAACTAAACAGTGGAATTGTGAAGGCATGCCCTGGGCACTGGGGGCGGGGGTGGGGTGGGTGTGTGTGTGGGTGTGTGTGTGTGTGTGTGGTATGTGCACAAGTCTTTGCATACTTCAGCACAAGTTGACAAAGCTGCTTAAATCGCATATAAATTCTTTATAAAGCTTTATTAAAAGAGGGGTAAAATATGAAAGCAAAGGAATCATGGTAAATCTTTCTAAAATATCACCAGGAACATTTACTCCAATTCCAGACAACACTTTTCAATGTCAAACCCTCAGAGACCATAAGGCATAGGAGCAGAAATTAGGCCATTTGGCCCATCGAGTCTGCTCCGCCATTCAATTCAACCCCATTCTCCTGCTTTCTCCCCGTAACGCTTGATCCCCTTGATAATCAAGAACCTATCTATCTCAGTCTTAAATGTACTCAATGACCTGGCCTCCACAGCCTTGTGTGGCAGTGAATTCCATAGATTCACCATTCTCTGGCTGAAGAAGTCTCTCCTTATCTCTGTTCTAAAGGGTCTTCCCTTTACTCTAAGGCTGTGCCCGCAGGTCCTAGACTCTCCTACCAATGGAAGCATCTTCCCAACATCCACTTTGTCCAAGCCATTCAGTATTTTGAAAGTTTCAATTAGATCCCCTCCATCCTTCTAAACTCCTATGAGTATAGTCCCAGAGTCCTCAAACATTCCTCATATGCTAAGCTTTCCATTCCTGAGACCATTCTTGTGAACCTCCTCTGAACTCGCTCCAGGGCCAGTACATCCTTCGTGAGATATGGGGCCCAAAACTGCACACAATACTCCAAATGTGGCCTGACCAGCGCCATATAAAGTCTCAGTAGTACATCCTTGCTTTTATATTCAAATCCTCTCAAAATAATGCAGACAGGATGCAGGATAAATTGTTGAGAATTTTACCAGGGTTGAACAGCTTCAATTTTGTGAAGAAACTGGAGGTAGACATTTTATTTTTCATCAGAGATTGTTAAAGAAAAATTTGCTCAAAATTCATGTTGAATTTTATATAGTATATGACGAGAAGCCGTTTCCAGATGCAGAAGGGTCAACAACAAAAGTAGACATTTTTAATGTGAATGGTAAAAAGAACTAGAGGTGTTTTTTTTTACACAGCTAGTTGTTGTGATCTGAACTGCAGTATCTGAATCGCTGAAACTGATTTAACAGCAACATTGCAAAGAGATTAGGATAAATACGTGACGGGATAATATTTTCAGGGATAAGGGAAACAGAGCAGTGGAGCAGCATTAATTGGATAGATCTGCCACAGAGCTGGCAAATGCATGGTGGGACAAGCTACCTCTTTTGCTGTATCATTCTGTGATTCTAAATAGTCAGAATCAGAGTCCATTTGCTTGGTTGAATCTGAGCAGGAGTATTTCTGTTGCTAGGTTACAGGAGATACTTGAATTGGAAGCAATAATAAAAACGGCCCAGGATTTCATAAATAAAAGAGCTTGGAGCATTGATGCTGCTTTGACTAAGATTTCGTGCCCCAATAAATTACCCATCCAGAATGTTGACATTGCAGAGAAAGTAAACCAAGCTCTTGCAGTTAATTACTATTCATTATTAACACACAAAACAAGGTGGTTCTCACAGTAGACTCTGACTAGAGAATTTAATTTGCTTAAAAAACAATTACCTACTTAACTGATGCAGCCTTAAGTGATGTAAACTGAGATCGTTCTGAATTCAAATGCTCAAAGTGCAGTGGTCGGATTTTTATGGCTATTCATGCAATATCAGTTCTGACTTTGTCCAGTGTTATAATTATCATACATTCCTGCATCACTTGCGACCATTCTGAAGAAGAGAGAAAAATGCATGTAATAGTAACAAACTTAAAAGTTGCCCAACCTTGGGGCATCACAACCTGTTACGTCCAGTTGGGATTTTTTCATCCTAACTGGGCTGTCAAATGAGACTGTGTTGTAGATGCCTAAACAATAGACCCTAAAGTCACTAGCATTTGACAGGAAAGTTTTGATTGTTTTCATGCAGCAGGCACTGAAAATAAACGTGCAGGTGCAGCAGGCAGTAAAGAAGGCAAACTGTCTGTTGGCCTTCATAGTGAGAGGATTTAATTACAGGAACAAGGATATCTTGCTGCAATTATACAGTGCACTGATGAGGCCACATCTGCAGTATTATGTTTGCAGTTTTGGTCTCCTTATCTGAGGAAGGATGTTCTTGTGTGAGAGGGAATGTAGCAAAGGTTTAGAAAATTGATTCCTGGGATGGCAGGGCTGATGTATGAAGACAGCCTGCATCGTTTAGGACTGTATTTACTGGATTTAGCAGAGTGTGGGGGGATCTCATAAAAATCTATAAAATTCTAACAGGAGACCAGACAGGTTAGGCCAAGAAGGATATTCCTAATGGTGGAAGTGTCCAGAACCAGGAGTCATAGTTTAAGGATAAGGGGTAAACATTTTACGATTGAGAAGAGGAGAAAGCTTTTCACCAACAGAGCGATGAGCCTGTAGAATTCAGCACCACAGAAAGTGGTTAAGGCCAAAACATTGTTTTCAAGAAGGTAGTAGACATAGCTCTTATGGCTAAAGGCATCAAGGGATATGAGGGAGAATGGGAATAGGGTATGAGATCAATGATCAGACTTGATCATATTGTTTGGCAGAGCAGGCTCGAGGTGTCAAATGGCCTACTCCTCCTATCTTCTATGTTTGTAAATGCACATTTTATTTCCCGCTGTCCAAGGTACTGAAATAGATTTTTTTAAAGACGGAATTCCTTCGATCCAACATTAACAATGCATTTTACCCAAACCTTAGAATAAAATCATACTACAGTATATTTTCCTTACTCGCACCAATCACAGTTGCAGTCTTTTTCAAAGTAATGTGCTACTGAAGTCGGTTTTGGGCAGTTGACACCATCCGACTCTAAATAAACAGAGTCTTGAAAGCCCATAAAGAGAATAAACTTTCATCCCTTATGTTATGTTTGGTTTGTGTATGTCCCTTGGAACTGTATTTAAAATAAAGAGAAAGTGCTGGAGAAACCGAGCAGGTCTGGCAGCATCTGTGGAGAGAAAAACAAAGTTGACGTTTTGACTCTAATGTCTTTGGAGCACCTTTTCTGAGACTGCTTTTGTTTGCACTTTCTCCTCTACTGGTAGAATTTCTTTTGAGTTGTGTTGAGCATGTGACAGGGCAAAGTGAAAGAATTGAACAAGCCACTTTATAAACAAAACCCAAGATCCAATATAACATCCATTTGAATTTATTGATGTGAGCTCTTGTTTCAGAGAGGACCGCATGCAAAACAAGGGACATATGCAGCAGAAAGAAGGCTTTCTGCACGTTATTGTACAGTAAATCTATTATATACAGACAACAAAAATAGATCCACTGAGCTATAGAAGTGAGTGAAGATGCAACGAAGTCAATAAATATCAATAATAGCACAGAGAAATACCAAGTGGCACTGAAAAGAGACACCTATTTGCACCTGAAAATACATTACTGAGCAGATACCACTTTTCACTATAAATTTCATTACAGCCTTTCATTATCTACAGATGCAGAAAGTATTAGAGGTATTCTGCAGGGCAAGGGTGACTCGATTTCTTTGTAGAAAAGACGTGATCTTTTCACACTTGATGCAATAAATTGAATCCGCAATTAGGCAGTTATGTGCTCTTTCGGTGTGAGACCTTTATTTAATTGGTGCGGTGAGAGTTAAACTACAGCGTCATTGCAATAGAACTTCAATAACAGCAGTGGTTCTGGAGGGCATAATGCAATTTCCTACTTCAAACAAAACTTCTATTGGATCAATTGTAATTTCCCTACAATACTGTCTCTTCAACCTGTCTTACAGACGACAGAACTTGCCCAAGCACAGGTGCCTGGAATTATACAAAAAAATGGAAGACAAACATATATTCTTAAAAAAAATAAAAACAGGTGGTCAAGCTTTATGTATTCCGTTAAAGTGCACTATAAATACTAATCTTTAAAGATACGATCAAATAATTCAGATAGTACCTTCTATATATTTGCTATATTCTTGTCAAGGAAACATCATATACAGGTGACAAGAGTGCCTGGGATTTACAGTATGCTTAAAATGGAGCCTCATAAAATCATTTCAAAACAAAAAGTGTTTTAAAATATTTTCCTTCCAACACTGTACAGACTACAGCTTCCTGGCTCAGTAGCAGCTACAGATTTGGGTGGGGATGTGCAAGGAGAGTGGGTGAGTGGCATGTGCTCTGAAATGTTAAACTATCACTATTGCAAATGCAACGCATGTACTGGGGAGTGACAGAGGGAGAGAAAGGGAGTCAGAGATGTCACAGTCCTCAAAGGAAGTACTGTAGTGGGAAGGATGACTAAGGGAGGAGGGGATAAGACAGTGAGAATGTTAGAAGAACTATTTGCTCATAAGCAATAAACAGAAAAGTAACCAATAGCTCTTTGAAGAATATTCATTTTGTTGGTCTCCAGTAAGCAACTCTGTATAAAGCATTGTTTCTTTAAGAAAAAAAAAGTCCACAGAAACATTCATTTCACAAGGCTCCAATTTTCCTTGAGTGTGTTTGGCTTTAAATAATTTAAAGAATTAATAATGAGGAAAAATAAAAGGACAGCAAAGTCAGCGGCTACCTTGCTCTGATTTTGTACTCAGAAATTCAGCCAATGACAATTCTCAGTTTGTGAAATGACATATATCCATTTGGCACTCTGATAGGGCCTCTTGTGTAAACCTCCAACTGAGTGACCTTCAATGGCTTTCTAAATAGCAGGCCAACAATAGGAGGCTGTCTCTTTAAGGCAATATAAAAAAAGTCAATCTACAAACAGTTGCGCCAACAACCAAATAAAAATATAAAAAGCTACAGGAGTGTCTGCAAATGAAGGATTACCATATCAGTCATGTTCTCACAATTTCTGTTACCAAAAGTTGACATCTAAATAATATTTTACACAAAAATATACAAGTCACAGATTGCGTCACTTGATTATGTTTTGGTGGCCGTGGACTGGGAGATGATTTCCTGCTAAGAAGTTAAGTCTTCTGCTTGTTGTTGGCTGTGTCAGGCCTGTAGTCTTTTCTCTCAGAGACGTTACGTTTGATTTTTGCATTTACAGGATACATCTCTTGGTTCAGCGATGGGCTGGAGTGCGACTTTTTCATCCCGTTTCCGTCGTTTTCCACGAGCATATCCGGCCCTCCTTCCTTCAGGAGTTTAACATATGTCTCATATCGGGTTTTCTGTAAGAGAAGTCAGCATGGTAACAGCTCAGTGCAAGAAAGGAACACAGCCCTTTAAACAGAGAATGCTGCAGCCTTGAGGCCAATGATCAACCGTAACACAGGTTTGACCTTCCATTGACTCAGTCATTAAATGCACTGCTTTCCCAGCTCTTTGACTGCAACCTGTTTGCTGAATTCTTTCAAACTTTGCAAGCTTTGTCAATAATATTAGGTTAATTCTATTGAGGATAAATGGGTAGAGGGTATTGATTGATTAAGTACCTTGAGCACATATTAAGAATATCTCTGCATAATCACTCCTGAGGATAACATTTTAATTTAAAGTTTAATTTGTGGTTTGATCTTTGTAATTGTACCCCTATAAGGAACTGTCACATTCTCATTTAGTTTGATATGGTTCCAAGTGGCTCATTTAAAATTATATAAAGAAGGACTCCTGGGCACCAGGTGTTAGCTCAGGTGCTTGGAGATCATTCATACTAGTCAGCAAGACTATTAACATGATCTCAGCTGATAGTATAATGGGGACAATCAGATCCCAGACTGAAATCTGACTTGTTAGATCATAACTTTTATTTTTCCAGTTTGGTTATCCATTTTAAGAGTGTGCCAATGTACCTTTATCAGAAGAACTCAAGTTTAATATAGAAAAGGGCAAGGAAAAGAAACAAAGATATATCATGAAGATCTTATCATAAACAACAAAAAGATTCACCCCCTTTCCCAGCATTAACCTTTTCAGACACACAGTCCCAGTGAAAAGTATCATTTCTGTCTTCACTTTTTAATTTCTTACTCAACCGATAAGGTTGGAAGCATTTCCTTTCACCAGATGGGATTCTCTCCATCTCTCCTAGAGTAACTCATTGTCTTTTCTCTCTGAATTTGAGGGAACAGGCTCTAAGAGTTTTTCAGGTTACTGTAACTACTTGTAGCTGCTAAACAGCACATCTGCTCGGATGGACCTTTTTTTCCCCATGAACTGAACCTTCTTCTCACCTCTGGCCATTTTTTTTGGGTCATGAGAGCTCAATTTAATGAACGCTTCAATTATCTCACCAACTAGCTTCTCTGGTTACTAACTTAAAGTCACAGGATTTCTTACAGGACAGAACAAATGGCCAGCACATAATGTTAGAAATCACATTCCTGGTTCCACTAAAATATTAATTTCAAATCTAATACAATAATATCAACGGCAGGAACGAACAAGTGGTTAACAGTCAGCAGTGCAGTCCCAACAATGGAACTTGCAATTCCGATGTGACTGTATATTGAGAACTACAGAGTGTTCTGGGAATGGAATACAACTGGAAATGACATTACAAACACGCTTGGTAGAATAGGGAATAGTTAATTAGAAAAAAACCGGATGCAAGGGATGTAGTCGCCATCTGAATAAAATATTGCGATGAGCACCCAAAAGAGTTCAAATTTTCAATTTCCCCTCATTGCCATTATATTTAGCCTTTCACATCAGCAAAAGATGGTCTTATGGTGCAGTCAGTAGTGTCCCTGCCTCTGAGTCAGAAGTTCCACGAGTCCCACTCTAAGACTTCATTATTAACCAGTAAATCATTCCAATGGGCCAATAGTAGGCAATAAAAGCAGGTGAGTCTCCTGGTCAGCCAAACTTGATGCTGAGTGGCACCTCAAATGGTATAGCTTCTGGCAACCTGATCCAGGCAACACTAGGCAAGAAAACAGACAAAGGCACACAACATTGCCTGTTTTGTGTGACGCTAGATATGGGAAAGTAGCACAGTCATCTGCAAGAGTCAGGGTGAGGAAATACTCCAGGAAATAAGACTGCTGAAAGAAAATACATTCGTTCATCGAGCCACTATATTTCATTTTAAACTAACAACATAAACATTATATTCCCAATCGCACTGAATATAAATAGTGTCAGTATTTTGAATGCTACCAAAGGGCTTTGTGCAGCAATATCTTTATCAAGTTATCAGTCAATAATTTAATTACTGTTACATTGAATTAAGGAGCTGCTAAATGAACGCCAATAATACTAATGCTGCTGTTTGTACTTCAGGCTCTGATTAAATGGTAGAATAAACCCTGTGGGAGTCCCTAAGGATAGGCATTAGGTTGTTGATGCAGACAAATGCTCTGCACTACTCTTTGTTCCCCTGGAGGTGCGCATCTGCTTGCTGATCGATGATGTGGATGGAAGTGCCCCAAGTCAGATACCTTCAGTGAAGAACTCTCCATCGAGTTGAAAGTTAGAGTGGGCAAAAAGGGGAAATAAACATGCATTTTCTTTCTAATAAGGCGAATAAACTGAAAAGATATTGTAGCTTCACCCCACTCCCATCCTGATGAAAAGTTGAGTTCAATCTTTCATAATACTTAGTGCTGTGAGAATAACAAATAAATAGTGATTTATTTATAGCGATAAGTTAGAATAGTTAGTTCATTTTAAATAGCTTGAGAAATTAATTAAAGAAAATAAAAACAATTATTTCAGATAGAATTAACAGTCACAATAATTTGGGTTGATTTTGAAAAGTCAGCACAGATTTTTTAAGAGACATGTATGTCTAAGCCTAATTGCTGGAGTTTTTTGAAAGGGTAACAGGAAGGTTAGATGATAAATATTCCCGATATGGTGTACATGAACTTCCAAAAAGCTTTTGATACAATACCAACACAATAGATTTATGAGGAAAGTTATAGCTTGTGGAATAAAAGGGACAGCAGCAAAGTGGATACAAAATTGGCCTAGGGATAGAAAACATAGGCACAAAGGGAAGAAGTTAATGAGTATTTTTCAGGCTGGGAGAAAATTTGCAATGGAGTTTCTGATGAGTTGGCAGTACAACCCTTGCTTTTCTTAATTTATACTAATGATCTAGGTAATCATTGTAGATTCCCTACAGTGTGGAAGCAGACCATTCAGCCAACTGAGTCCACACTGATTCTCCGAAGAGCACCCCGACCCACCACCTACTCTATCCCTGTAACCCTGTATTCCCCATGGCTAATGCACCTAACCTGCACATCCTGGACACTATGGGCAAGTTAGCATGGCGAATCCACCTAACCTGCACATCTTTGGACTTTTGTGCACAGGTAGCAATTTCAAAGTTTAAGGATGATACGTAAACTTGGGAATTTGGAAACTGTGAGGAGGATTCTTTAAGATTTCTTATTTCAAATGAATCAAGAATAAAGTAAAATGTGCATCACTTTTTGTGATTTTCCTGCATTATTGAAGAATGATTGGAACAGGACAATATTGGCATTCAAAGATTGTGCTAGATAAGTGCAAGTCTTTTCACAGAATCACAGAATTCTTACAATGCAAGACTCCATTCGACCCATCCCGCTTGCACTGGTTATCTGTGCATTTTAGCTTTGTATAATCGTCTACTTTCGGAGCGTACACAACACTCTAGCTGAGGTCTCACCAATGTCTTATTTGAATTCGTCATAACCTTCCTACTCATGTACTCTTTGTTCCTATTTATCGAGCTGAAAAACGCTGTATGATTTATTAACACATCTATCTGTCTTGCCAATTTTAAGGGTATGACAAATACATCTAGGTGAAGAACTTCAGAGGGATATTGACAAGTTGATGGAGCAGGTAGATAGGTGGCAGATGAAGTTCAATCTGAAGAAGTGTGAGGAGATACACTTTGGTACAAAGAACATGGAGAGATCGAATGAAATGAAAGGCTCCATTTTAAAGGGTGTGCAGATTCAAAGACACCTGGGTGTACATCTTTCTTTGTCATTAACGATGGCAAGGCTAGTAGTTAATAAACCATACAGTATTCTAGTTTTCACAGATAGGGGCTTAGAGTACAAGAGCAGGTCAGACCTCACTGGAATATTGTGTACTGTTCTGGGCACTATACTATAGGGAGGACAAGAAGAGTGCAGAAGAGATTTACAAGAATGGGGCTAGGGATGAGAAACTTCAGTTAATAGAAAAGATTGGAAAAGATGGGACTGTTTTCACTTGGCGTGGTGAAAGCTAAGTGGCGATTTGTTACAAGTCTTCAAATTCACAAGGGCTCTGTATACAGAGTGTATAGGAAGAAACAGTTCCAGCTCATAAACCAATTGAAAACCAAAAAGCACAGTTTTCAAGTGCTTTACAAGAGAAGCAAATGCGAGACGAGGAAAAAATCTTCTTGACATGGTGAGTAGTTAGGGTATGGAAAGCACTGCCTGGAAGTGTGGAGGAAGCCTCAATTGAAGCATTGAGCAGGATGATTGTTTCTATGTAAGTAGTGTGCAGGTTACAGGGAAAATTTGCACCCTGTTAAAATGCTTAGAGAGAGTCAGTGCGGACACAATGGGCTGATTGGCCTCTAGCTGCACCATAACAATTCTATGAAAGTATTTCCATTTATTGATCACTGTTCACAACCTTTATTAAATGTATATATAGTCCCAATCCAATCGTTCTTCAATTATGGAGGAAAACCTCCAAAAGAATTGCACACCTTGCTGTGTTCTTCATTCATTTAAAATATGAGACTGTCGAATCTAGAGTCACTTACAAGCAATCTCAAAGTCCTGTGCAGCCTGTGAGACCCATAGGTAGCATTTGGCAGTCTTGTAAATGGCCTCTTAGGCTTCATCTTATCTCTTCATTTCAGGAGGTAATATACTCAACAGAAGCACCCTGTATTTATATTCAGCCTTTCACATAATAAAATATTCCAATGCATTTCAAGACGGCACTTTTGAACAAAATATCATGCTTAGTTATAAAAGTGGATCTTAGGGCATAAGATCAAATGTTAGGTCAAGCTTTAAGGAGGGTTTGAAAGCAAGTTAAAGAGGCAGAATTGTTTATGAAGGAAATCATAATGCAAACAGCTGAAACAGTTACCAACAGTGCAGCAATTTAAGCAGGGTTGTTCAAGAGGCCAGAATTAGAGGTGATTAATCAAACAATTATGGGACTTGAGAAGTCTACAAAGCGATTTCAAAAAATGAGAATTTTAAGGTCAAGAAATTTT